GTGGCAACCTTTCGGAGAGTGATTATTTATTGCACGGCTTGGGACTGGGCTGAAGCGTACGAGGACCTGAGTCGGTATGTGCGTCCGAGGAGCCAGTCTAAAAAATTTGAAAAAAGTTTTTGGAGGAAAGATTCCTCCAACGGAAGGCCGTTAGATGAACTATTGCCAGGGCATTATCATTACGGTCACCTTTCGCTCGTTTAGAACCCATACCCATCTGTCGGAGCTTCTAAGGCACTGCTTGGAGACGGTTACTTTGTTAAGACAAAGATTAGCGTGGTGGAAACGGTTCTTTCCGCTTGGGAGCGGTTGGCAGGTTCTACAGGATGGGCTCTGGGTTCCAAAAGAGATTGTGGGCCTTTCTAATATTGACGCTTCTTTTTGATGGACCACGTCGATAGCCTTACCACTCCATTTGAGTATGACACAGGCAAGGGCTTGCTGTATCGCGATATTTTGCCTGGTGTGGATGCGAAAGGACTCCATCACGATGTCCTTGCTGCTATTCTGAAGATCTTGGGCGGAGCAAGTTGGACGAGAACAGAGGAGGAGAGCCGGCAAGTGCTTTCGTTTTTTGTTGAAGTTTTGCATGCGTACAATGTATGGCTACAAAGAAACCTTGGTCCCTCACAAAGAAGTTCTGACCTACTGTCGTGGTGCCGCTTGGGGTACCTCTGATAAGTAATGATGAAACCACGACAGGACTAGATTCAGACGCGACAGAAGATCAAGGAATTTTTTTTTACCATTCTCTTTTTCATACAATTTTGAACCGGTGACATTTGAATCGTCGTGGCTCCCAAGAAATATGTCTCGTCGAGATGTGGGAGCAGGGCTAGCGGTGTCTTCCGTGACGTGTGCCCTCTTGGGCGAAATAATGCGTGCTTTAGGATCTCATTGCCTCCTGGACGAAAGAGGGCAAGGACTACTTGAAAAAGAAGAGGAAGGGCAACAAGACGAAGAAGAAATGATCGCCAATGAAGAGGACAAGATCACATTAAACGAAGAGCCTTTACTCCATAAGCCTACCTCAGTTGATCGCGCGACACAGGACGAAGGAAAAGTAGACGAAAATGCCGCAAAATTTCTACGGAGCAAACTATGCCGAGAAGAGGCGTCCATCAGAGCCCTGCTGCACATCATACATGATTGTGAAACCGTTTCTAACAGTGCTACAACAAGCGGGAGAGACCAAAAAGCTTTGGCTTGCGCTCGAACCTGCCAGCAGCGCGCGAGCGTTATTTTGCGTCATGTTCTTTGCTTTGGAGGAGAAGAAAAGGGCGAAGGGGGTGGAGGAAGTGACCGAGCGCTAGCGTGGAAGTGCCTGGTGAAGGTTTGCGTACGCGACGGGGCTTTCTTTTGTATTAACAGTGTGCGGCGCGCTTTTAGGAAGTTTTTTTGGAGTTGGTACTGCATTCCCTACGTGACAGGGCTCATTGGCATACTCGTCGTTTTCGTCATCTTGGCCTTCTTTTTGCCTCTTGGGTTTACTTTTGTCTTCTTCGGTGAGCTTTTTGGGTTCGGTTCGGAGGAGGGTACAGTGAGCCTCAGTCGTGCCACCACCTTCATCCGAGACATCCCGATCGCCTTGAGGAGATGCACCGGGGACCTGTGGCACAGCTACAAATTACGAGCTTCGACATCACATCCTTCACTGACATGCTTGACCTCGGTCCAAGTGCTGCAAAATCGGTCAAGAATGTTGTGAAGAGTGTAATGCTGTAACCTTTAAACAGAGAGACTTACCCTTACGATATTAATTGTTGGCGCGGCTTCTATAGAGCCCGCACATTCATTCTGGGTTATGAGGCGGTCGTCAGCATCGAAGGCGAGGATTGGCCAGGAAGCGGGCGCTTTGTCGCAGGAACCTTTTTTCGATTGTGGCGGACGTGGAAATCCAGTCAAAAATTCGAAAAAAATTCGGACACTCCACCTTGTCCTCCTCTGGTATACATCATTTCAAACAGCATATCCATTTCGTCGTTTGCCACTCCCACCGCGCTTCTGGCTCTACTACTGGGGCCGCTGTGCCTCTACGTGACGCAGTTTTCATTTTTCGAAAATATTGTAGTGCTACTAGTTTGGTCTTGCTTTAAGCAGTGCTCTCATAGATTTTTCTGACGAAGAATTCATCGATGCGTTAGACGTCATCCATGTGCTCGCGGTACCCGACAAGATCTTTCAATATCTACTTCTTGGGAGGAGGAAGGGAAAGAAGTAGACCTAGCCGATCCCCTTCGTGCTGAAGGTGGTGATGCTGCTGCTTTGTTGGACCAAGCAGATAATCGACAACAGTCTTCATCCCATTGGCGTGACGGGGAAGGTGGAAGACAACGAGGAAAAAAGGCCACTTCTTCTAGGGATGATGCTGATGCTGATCTCTCGTCTACTAGTTCCTCAAAAGAGCGATCTTCTAAGGAAAGACGTAAGAGTGGCAATAGTACGTCGTCTAAAGGTGGTGGGACGGGGACCAATTCCTCCTCAACATCCAAGGAAAAAGCGAATAGTACTGAGGACACTCCTGATCATGTTCATGACGTTGGGGACACGAAAAAAGTGTTACGGCTCAAAAATACAATTCATTTCTACAACAACTCACTTTTCTCTGTTTTCTTCCTGAAATCGTGAGAAAATGAACCCGAGAAATGAATTGCTTGGGCTCTAAGAGTGCGTCAGATTCACCGCGTGCACCGTGCGAACAGCATCGATTTGGTGAACTATTACTTGCACAATGTCGGTGATTTGCATACTACGAATCTAGGAGGAGGAAGTGGGGCGTCTGGCTTGCCACCGAAAGGGTCACTCTTAACTGGTGACCGACCGTCCTTTGAAGAAGAAGATGGCATGAACATTCTTGGAAGAAACAACCACTATATCATGAATGCAGCTCTTCCTTCAAAGAATCAAGCACCATACGCTGGAATGCAGCAAGAACGGGCGCTACAGAGGATGATGGAGCACATGCTAGGAGGCTTTCGAGAGCAGATAGTAGCGGATGTGCAACGAGTGATGGCAGAAAATCGTGCGGAATAATTAAATACATTTTACAGTAAGCAGCAAAGAAACAACACGCACACTGGAACAACAAGACTAATTCTCGTCGCAGCATGGTACTCAAAATTTGAAATTTAGACGAAGGTACATGCCAGAGACATTATGATTCGAAGTATTTGATTCAGTATTCCTTGACCACTTTTTGATTTAAATTACTAGGATATAATCTCAATCTCTTAAGAAAGAAATGACATAAACTCGCGTGATACAACGAACACATCAATGAACATGGATTGAAGAATCTGGACGCTATTCTTTCACAACGACACGCGATAGCTTCTCTCTTGTGCATGATATGATTCAGCGATTAGAAACGAAGTACTCTATTTAAAGTACATTAACATAACAGCAAGCAAACCAGAAAGCACAAACTGAATCACAGGCTTCGCCTTTCCGTATCAAGTCAACTGCGTATCTGCATAGATAGTATAGACAAGTCACAGTGTCAAAAGAAGTATCTGCATAGTAAGTTTTCAAAGTGAGAATGACGTAAAAAAGTAAGAGGAACAAATACACTTGTGAAGAACTAAGCACACCTATTTGTGCAGCGATATTCTTACGACGAAAAATGCACCCCTGGCACACTCCGATTCAAAATTTCCCAGAGCTGAAAACACAAGTTACCATACAAGCAGCCACAGTGCAGTAATAGCCAAAATGCAGTTCGAGAAAGTGAGCTGCAAAGTACTTTGACATATGATCTATCATGCATACATGCTAATGTTTCGTTTAGAAGTAGAAAATACTAATGCACTGGTATCATAGTCGAACAAGATGATCCCAATATGAGCCTTCTCTTCCTCGTAGCAAATAACATGTAACTGTGACAGTATTTTTACCAAGCCATGATAATAACATTTTTGAGTAGGTTATCAAGACGAGTTATTTGCCACAAACAGTCAACGTGCTGCCGAGCGCTGGGCCCTTCGATGTGTTTTGAGAGCGCCGAGTTACGACGGGCAAAAGAGTACTACGAGTAGGAACGAAAATTTCAACGAACAATGTCATTGTGCGTTATGTAGTTCAACGATGAATGTCATTGCGCGTCATATTGAGCGTGAGTTAATGTCATTGCGCGTTACAATTGAACTTGAGTGATGCTGCTATCTGTTGAGGTGAGCGATGCTGCCATCTGTTGAGGTGACTGATTGACGCTGTCTGGAACCTGTTGTGTGGTGATGTGAAGCTCTCAATTGAAGGCTTCTTGGAGTTGAATTCTCCACGAGAGTTTCATCGGAGTGTCTCTCTATCTGTGCGTGTTATTTTCGCCCCATGTACTAATGAATTTCCAGTGCCCTAGGGCCCTTTTGATATAATGAAGATCGCCCGGAACACCTTACCTCATGCGTAGAAAAGGAGCATAAGTAATCCCTTTGATATATCAATAGTTACTTTTATGATATCTGCTAGAGAACATGTACAAGTACAGTAATCGGAAATCATTGAATCGCTTCCATATCCTATCATCCCCGCTTTCTAGGTAGTTGTTCAAGAAATTGACATTCTACTTGTTTTTGGTGAATCGAAGACACGACAGCAACAGCTTAAATCTGCTTGACATTCTGCTTGTTTTTGTTGAATCGAAGACACGACAGCAACAGTTTTCCTATTTCTGGCTTTCTGAATTGGGAAAAGCATGTCATTGATCTACTGCTGACTACAACTCTACTTGTAGCTCAAAATGAAAAACTAGCATCTACTGATATTTTTACTTCCATCCAATGCTAATGCGAGATTTGTTTTTAGGATAATAAATTCCAAAATGTTGAGTTCGACTCCATCAAGTCCCCCACAATCAGACTGCTCCCGTGGGAAACCACCGAGAGTGCGGGTTGATGTGTACATGCTTTCCGGGGAGTGCAAGAGTTTTGAGGTGGAAGGTAAAGTCTCTACGAAAGCAGGGTCGTCATGGTTCTTCGTCACGTCACTTGACGATCTAAAGGGACGGATCGAAGAAGCGACGTGGGTGCACCGCGAGCAGCAACTGATTCTTGATATATGGATGAGAAGTCTGTTCTTTCTTGTTTTTCGTATCCTAATGTTTTTAACGCAGGTGGATTAACATTTTATTTTGCGCTGGAGGATTAACATTTTATTTTGCGCTCATTCCCCCATTCTTTTTAATGCAGTCTCAGTCCTCTGTCATCAGTTTGAATGTTGTGAGCCTTCGACTTTTCACTATACGCTTATTTTTTCTCTGCAGAAAGAAAGTGGTGGAGAAAAAATACTTATACTTATAGAAAACAACTAGAACATCTTCGTTCATAGACGGACGCAGGGGAGCCAGTCGATTGTGACGAGTCAGTAAGGCGTTTGTTTAACGAAGAAACAACTACAGATGCCCCGCCAAGCTCGTCCGTTCTTTCGCTACCGTCTTCCGATACGGGCAGTTCTTCGTCGTACTGGCCTCCGGAAATTAGAAAAGGTGTCGAGCTGACGTTGTGCGTTACTACCAGAAATTCGAAAGAAGGTGAAGGACGTACAAAACGTGGTCGCAGAAGGTTGTCTGGTAGAAGGTTTAGGCTTTGTGAAATGTTGTTAGAAAACCAGGACTTCTTCAACACGAAGATAATGGATGAGGTGAAAGCTCCGACAGTGAGATTGAAGCTCTACGTGGAAGAGTTTTTCGACGAGATTTACCACACAGCGGAAATATGTTGCGGCGACGAGCAAAAAAAGAAACGTAAGGAAGACGAAAGATCGCTGGAGCGGGACAGGAGGGGTAGGGCGAATTTTTTAGAAACCGGACGTCTTGTGGCTTCGCGGGACAGGGGTAGGGCGGATTTTTTAGAAACCGGACGTCTTGTGGCTTCGTGTGAACTTGCGAATGCGTTTGAGAACGAAGACTGGACGCGGACAAAAGTATCGCTGTCTCACCTTTTGATGTGCAAGATCATCCTTATTTATGGAAGCAACTACCTAGAGTTTTCCAGCTGATGAGTAAAAACTTTGATGTAAAAATGCTTCTTTTAGAGGACTTAATCACATGGTCATGGACAATATGATCCAGAAGAAGCCGCTTCAGAAGATTTTTACGTCTAAGTGAAGCAGCCACAATCGCAGCCAGTCGACGTCTTGAGGGCGCTTGTCATGGTTCACTGGCAGATGCAGGTAAATTTGCAGGGGCTAGATGCAAAGCATGCTGACGCGCTATGCTTGTTCCAGTTCCTGCGCGGGGTTTTCACTTTGCTGCCTCGGATTGTGACCCTAGTTGAAGCCTCGGTGAAGGCACTTATTATGGCATGCTGACTCTTACCACAATTTGAGACATTTGCTAAGTATCTACTACGCGGCATAAGAGATGAAAAAGTCATGCACAGCTATTTAAGTAACTTAAATTATTTTCATGATTAACTTTCACCATTTTCAAAGTTGAGCATTCATTGACAGCGAAAGTGGGGAGAGTGGACACGAACTGACTGAAGATACTAGTACTATGCAGAAGGAGCACGACGATGCAAGGGTGGTATATTCTCCTGCTTTAGCGCCTTCTAGTGTAGCTGCCTCCTCATCCACCCCTGGTTCTGGACGTGAAAAGAAGGATAGCTTTCTGGTAGAAATCACTTCCGGCGTCACGAAGCAGCAAGTAGACAAAGAATTACCGGAGTTAGTCTTGTGTGGTGTCGTATGCTGCGTCTTCGGTTATGTCCACCATCCCAGTCGGATCTTGGGCGGTCGTCGCTACCGGCAACGCGATAGCACTGCCGCATTATTGGGCGACGCCTTTATTTCTGCTTGTAATGGTATCGTGAGTGCGTCACGGGTGAAAAATCTAGATGGGCTTTTAAGGAGTGACGTTCTTTTTAGACCACGTTTATTTGGCACAGAGCAAGAAGATGGCGGCTTACTTTCACGGCCTTTTTCACTTCTAGTGGCAACCTTTCGGAGAGTGATTATTTATCGCACTGTTTGGGACTGGGATGAAGCGTACGAGGGCCTGATTCGGTATGTGCGTCGGAGCAGCCAGTCTAAAAAATTTGAAAAAGATTTCTGGAGGAAAGATAGCCCTAACGGAAGGCCGTTAGATGAACTATTGCCAGGGCATTATCATTACGGCCACCTTTCCCTCTTATAGAACCCATACCCATCTGTTGGAGCTTCTAAGCCACTGCTCGGAGACGGTTCTTTCAGCTTGGGAGCGGTTGGCAGGTTCTACAGGATGGGCTCTGGGTTCCAAAAGAGATTGTGGGTCTTTCTAATATTGACGCTTCTTTTTGATGGACCATGTCGATAGCCTTACCACTCCATTTGAGTATGCCACAGGCAAGGGCTTGCTGTATCGCGATATTTTGCCTGTGGATGCGAAAGGACTCCATCACGATGTCCTTGCTGCTATTCTGAAGATCTTAGGCGGAGCAAGTTGGACGAGAACAGAGGAGGAGAGCCGGCAAGTGCTTTCGTTTTTTGTTGAAGTTTTGCATGCGTACAATGTATGGCTACAAAGAATCCTTGATCGCTCACAAAGAAGTTCTGACCTACTGTCGTGGTGCAGCTTGGAGTACCTCTGATAAGTAATGATGAAACCACGACAGGACTAGACTCAGACGCGAAAGAAGATCACGGAAGTTTTTATACCTTTCTTTCTTTCATACAATTTTGAACCGTTGACATTTGAATCGTCGTGGCTCCCAAGAAAGATGTCTCGTCGAGATGTGGGAGCAGGGCTAGCGGTGTCTTCAGTGACGTGTGCCCTCTTGGTCGAAATAATGCGTGCTTTAGGATCTCATTGCCTCCTGGACGAAAGAGGGCAAGGACTACTTGAAAAAGAAGAGGAAGGGCAACAAGACGGAGAAGAAGTGATCGCCAATGAAGAGGACAAGATCACATTAAACGAAGGGCTTTTACTCCCTAAACCTGCCTCATCTGATCGCGCGACACAGGACGAAGGAAAAGTGGACGAAAAAGCCGCAAAATTTCTACGGAGCAAACTATGCAGAGAAGAGGCGTCCATCAGAGCCCTGCTGCACATCATACATGATTGTGAAACCGTTTGTAACCGTGCTACAACAAGCGGGAGAGACCAAAAAGCGTTGGCTTGCGCTCGAACCTGCCAGCAGCGCGCGAGCGTTATTTTGCGTCATGTTCTTTGCTTTGAAGGAGAAGAAAAGGGCCAAGGGGGTGGAGAAAGTGACCGGGCGCTAGCGTGGAAGTGCCTGGTAAAGGTTTGCGTAGACGGAGGGGCTTCCTTTTATGTTAACAGTGCGCGGCGTGCTTTTAGGAAGTTTTTTTGGAGCCGGTACTGCATTCCCTACGCCACACCGCTTATTAACATACTAGCCTCAGTCTTTGCGCTGAGTCCTCTTGGTATTGCTCTGGTCCTGGTCGGGGTTTGGCACTTTGAGGGTTCGCACAGTCTCAAGCGCTGCATGCGAGAGCTGCCGCGTCGTTGGATGGAACTCGCTCTGCGTGAGATGCCGCTCCATTTGTGGCACAATTACAAGGAGACATACGACACTAACTCTTGGCGCGGCTTCTATAAAGCCCGCTTACCCTTTTGGGATGATGAGAAGGTCGTCAGCATCGAAGGCGAGGATTGGCCAGGAAGCGGGCGCTTTCTCGCAGGGACCTTTTGTCGAATGTGGTGGACGTGGAAATCCAGTCAGAAATTCAAAAAAAATTCGGATACTCCACCTTGCCCTCCTCTAGTATACATTATTTCAAACAGCATATCCATTCCTTCGTTTCCCACTCCCACCGCGCTTGTGGAGATGGCTGTACTACTGGGGCCGCCGTGCCTCTACGTGACGCAGTTTTCATATTTCGGAAGCACTGCAGTGCTTCTAGTATGGTCTTGCCTGTGGTGCTTAATGCTCTTGTCATGAGAATAGCAAGCGAACACCTTTACCTCATAATTGAAGACGAGCAAAAAGTCTTTTCTGACGAAGGATTCACTGATGGTCTGGAGTCCTGGGCCAGACGTCACGCACTTGCTCGCTGTACCCGAGGACGAGATTTTTCAACATCTACTTGTTTGGTTTTTCGGATATCTCTGGAGTGAAAATGACCGTTCTGAAAGACGTGTGACGATGATGAAGATCGATATTGTACGCAGTTGCTGGAGTTGCTGTTTTGTGTTGAGAGAACTGCTTACATGCTTCATACTTCTTAGCGTCTGTTCTTGACTGAGAAAGGATGGAAAAAGAGCGATCCATCTCCTAGTGAAGATAAGTACCTAATATAAATCTGTCGCGAGTTGTATTGAGAGATGACAACCTCTGTTAAGCTGAGAGGAGCGTCGCTGGTGTGAGTAGAGAAGCTTGCCGAAGGGTCTGTTGAGCGAAAGGAGCCATGATGTGAATCTGCCTCGGGGGGTGTGTGAATCGGTCTCGAGGGTTGTGTGAATCTTTCTCAAAATGTCGTGCGAGGTGTCGCGTAAAATAGAATCCAACCATCTTCATTTCTATGCACATTCGCGTATAATAGAATCCAACCATCTTCATTTCTATGCACATTCAACTTTAACTTATCCCTCTGCAGTGCCAATTCTTGTAATTTATTTTGCTTTGATGTCCCGCTCCCATCCTCTCAAATACAAATTTTTTTAGGCTTCCCCTCTAAATAAAACACAACTCTAAAAACAAACAAACCAACCTCAACCTCAACAACGTGAGCCTCCAACCTGAAAAAGAAAAAATGGCCGATCATTCTTTATCTTCCACTCACCCGCGCAAAGCGCAGGCTGGTCTTGATAGTGGAGCAAGCAAGATCTGCAACACTACCATGCCAGCCGCAGGCGCGCGTGTCTCGGAACGCGTCCGCAGAGGGGAAGGAGCCAATAGAGGTTCCGCATGGGGCAAGGATGTGGAGATTCTCCCTGGAGGCATTACTAGGAACTGGGCTTCTACTACGGATGGCTCCCTACCCGAACACTTCACCAGTCTGGTTTTGGGTTCTGGTGATATTGGAAATCAGAAAACCGGTTTGGCGCAGTCTAGGAATTTGCGATCGCCGTCGTTGGCGCCAGACGAGACGACTGCGCGCAGAGCCCTGTTCGGGAAGAAAAGGGATAAGCTGCGCGAATACGAGAACCCCACGGTGACGCCAATGGCTCGCCCAGTAGATGGGGATGTCTACAAGGAACGAGTGTCTGCGAATTTAGCGGCTCAATCAGCCGGTATCGGGACTCGAGAGCAATATGAGAAGCTGTATTCGGTGCGGCAGATGGATAGACGAGCGGAAGCGGAGTTGAATAGAAGACTCAACGCCGAAAAGGTAAAGGAGGAGACTCGTAAGCACCGCGGGGACGGCTTGTGTAAACCGACCAACAGTGCAGGCAGCTTATCTGTCGGATCGTTGAACTATCTTTTCGGCGAACAGCAGCGCGTATACGAGCTGCAGCAGCGACAGCTACGGAAAAGTGGAGTTTTAGGTGACAATGAAATCATAGCTGGCGATACCCTGAAGCGACCGGGAAAAGACGACATTGATTTCCAGTGCAAAAACACTGTTGGACGTGGAGCGGATTACCGTCAGAGTGCGAGTGAACCTAAGTCATTCAAACGATACGGAACTGATTTCTGTCCAGATCTAGAAAAGCCGTTTTTGTTCGTGGAATCTCTGATGCTGGGAACGGAGGTGGTCACGTTTCTTCTGGATCACGAGAAGCTGTACTATTTGTGTCGGTCGAAGACGCAACGTAGCTGCTCTGACAGACCGTTTGAAAACGACGACAGGATCGTGCCGATCTGCAAATTGACAGACATTCAGGGTGTGATCGTGCAGCACGATGGCACGGAGAAGAAACTGCCAGACACATTTACGATTTTATATCATCCTCACGTGACTGGCCGCATGACGGATGAATACGATCAAGTAGGTACGTTTACCAAGCATCCAGAGCCGTTTTTAATGAGTACACGGCCGCAGTCGCGTCACCGATCGCGGTTGGCCGCACCTGGGAAGTTGTATCACGAATTTCCAGTAGAGGATAAGCCTGGCATGTTCTATTTCCCGGATCGAGTGTTCTGCTCTGAAATCGACGAAAGCGGCATGCTCCGGCGCCGCGACTATTCGGTTGGCTTTTCTTCAGGGTTGGCGTCCGAATCGTCGGAGGTTAGGGCTCAATTGCGCAGTCGAACTCAAATGGGGCAACGGGATATCCGAAGAAGAGCGATCTTTGGCAACACCGCCAACGTGCCTGAGTCGTTCACCACTGTGCCATGGCAAGCGAGAAACGGAGTTGGGGGTTTAGTCGTAGAAGAATCTGAGGAAGAGGAGGACAGCAACGCATCTATGATGCGCGCATCTATGATGTCCAGTGGCGAGGGTGGCATTTTACACAATTTGACTGCAGTTCCGGTGAAGGGCGCCTTGGATTTCTTGGCTGCACGAAATAGTCGCATTTCTGCGAAAGACGCAGACGGTTCTTCTAGCAGAACTAGCAGGAGAAGATCTTCATTGAATCAATACACCAACAGTGGCTTCTTAATCCCGTCTAATGCAGAGGGTGCTCACAATGTCGAAGGTGCTGAAGATCTCTCGGGTGAAGATCTTCTCTCGTCTGGTGCTGAAGATCTTCTCGCGAGTCGTGCTAGTTGTAGAGGTGAGAGCGGTCATCTTGCTCAACAGGGCGGTCAACGTCGAGAAGATGGAAGCGAAGAGGATGGAGACGATGCAGCGAATGCAAGTATGAAGGCAATGGAAGACATGTTTTTTTCTTCTCACCATCTCGAAGGTCAGCAAGATGATCAAGAAGACGGTAACAACCTTGGAGCAGATGCCGAGTCAGAAGGACAGCCACTCCCACCAGAACAAGATGATCTTGAAGATGCTGATGCAGCTACCTCTACTTCGATGGATATTAATAAAGCAACTACAGAAGATGCAGAAGATGCGAGTTGTACCTCCGAAGTCATGAAGAAGAAGGGTGAGAAGAGTCTTTTGGTTCCGGGAGAGAGAGCTTCGTCGCGATTGGGTGGCTCTGTTGCTCTAGATCAAAGCGTTATGAACGTCAAGAGCATGAATCAATCTTCTGGATCCCAAAAGGGTGGAAAAGGCCGCAACAGCTGTGGTCATGGCCATGGAGTGATGGGAGCTGCTCTGTCCCAGAGGGGGAAAGCGCTGAGTGGCGCGAAGGGCAACATGAATGCGGAGGGCAGTCGTGGTGCAGGTGCAGGTGCTGCTACTACTGCTATGAACTCGGCCGGCTCAGCGCAAAGTGCTGGCACGACAGATGCTCAGCAAGGTGCCCAAGGAGGTGGACGTTCGAGTTTCATGTCTACAGCCCCAACGGCGCCGCAACAAGATTCTGGGGATTATGATCACTTTACGCCAACCGACTTGAGACGTAAGCGCTCTTACACGGCCACAGAAGTGACACATTTCTTGACGTTGCGTGTGATGCCTTCTTGCCGCGACAAGGATCTATCTACCGCGACCGATGATGCGGAACACACCGTGTCGAAGAAAGTGACCCATTGGGGTGAAGCAGGGAAATTACAGGGGAAAGACTTCACTGTCACGTTGCTGGATTTCGATTGGGCGCACGCTGTGAAAACGAAAATCCGGTCGGCTGTTTTGTTGCGTAAAGAACCAGAACATGCCGGAGCCTTATCGCATATTCTGAACTCGGCGAATTCTTTGCGCAGTTTGTCGCATTGGATGTCGATTTTCAGAGCTCTAGGCATTCCCGTGATCCACGACCTATCCGCTTTGCAGGCTAGGGACTGGAAGAGCGGCGATCATGGGGATTTTCCTGGTGGACATCCGCATGACTACACGTCTCACGCCACCGGCCACCTACACCTCCAAAAGCGCATTGACCGTGTCAGTGGACGTTCCATGACAGATCGCAATAACCGACTATACGCAGAAAAACAGCTTTCTTCCTACATGAACCGAAAATTCAATGACCATGATGCTCCTGTGCACTTTGGCACCGGTCAGAGTTACTGCTTTTACCAGGGTTGGTTGAAGAATCTGAATCGGAACGAGATGGGTTTCTACGTATTGGATGGCCGTGGAATCACGCATTATACGGATTCGAACAAAAAAGTCGCAGTGAAGCGTTGGCACATGAACGATATCTTGTCCATGCGTCCGGTGAAGGCAGCCAAAATGGCTGCTAGAACACGGCTGCTCAGACGTCGTATTCACAATTCGTTTCTCAAGCTGGTTTTGAGAGGCGAAATTGACATTCGCGCTTTGTGTGTCGCATTTGCCAACATCCCAGTACCAGTTTTGGTGAACGAACTGGACTGGGAAGAAAAGCTCGCTATGATCTTGTCCCGACGCATGACCAGAAACGCAGCGACTTTGGTGTCTCGCTTAGGTTTGGAGAAAGTCATTCTGGGTATGAATTCCATTGGGCGCGAGGCTAATCACGGTACAGCTATTGGTGGTACTGACGAGGATGATAATATCGAAGACATCCTGGAGGAGCGCGATGCTGATGCGGTGCTTCACGGTGATATCCATCCTAGTGACGATCAACCACCTTCACTGTTTATAGAGGGGAAGAAGATGAACAACATCCAGCCCAACGCTCCGACGGAGAAAGACTTGTCTGCTGCCACTAAAAACAAACGCGGTAAGAAATACGAATACGCTCTCCCAGGAGGCAAGTTCACGCCGAGCGCGAAGCAATTGGCTATTTTAGATAGTAAACTGCAGCGTCGTGCGATCATTATTGGGGCTGTCATGTCGCACGCTGGCGGGAGACTGCGGCAGAAATACTTAGAAAACCCCCTAAGCAATCAAGCTTACATGTCCGAGTCGGAACAGGAGGACGAGGAATTTTTGGAAGACCTCTACGCCAGCCAAGGTCGCTCGAGTCAGTCAAGAAATAGACGCACTACGGCGGTTAGAGATGACACTTTGTTTTCAGTCACTTCAAGAATGTCTGGGAATGTTGATCCTTTGAATCTTCAATCTGGCGGCGCTCCAGGTGAATCTCGTAGCAGCAGAGGAGGCGACAGCACCACAGTTAGATCGAGCACAAGGATGTCCCTTGCTCCTTCGAAAAAACGACGTCAAACGCAGAACATCCTAAGCCGGATCCGCGAAGCTAAAGCGGTCGAAGGCTTTCAGCGCCGTAGTCGGTTACGCGGAGCTGCGAGAATGATGCACTGCTCTTTGGAAATTCGTGCGAAGCATTTGCCGAAATACACTACAGGCTTGATGGAAACGAATCGGCACTTGTCGAAAACTAAGTTGCAAAAATTCCAAAGCCTCGCTTTGATTCGTTTGTTTCGCAAGAAAACGCAGACGAAGCGTCATTCGTTTAAGAGTGTCCCGTCGAGTGCTGCGGGAGTGGAACTTATGCCTGGGAGGGTGTCGAACCAAGTGTTGAAGGGAAATACAAAAGCGATCACGCACACCAATCCGATCCCGAAGTACTTGTTTAGTGGTGGGGTAAAACTCTACGGCGCAAGACGAATGAAGGATACGGAAAGATTTTTCGCTGCCTCGCGTACTTGGGGTGAGCGGGTGAACCGCGATGAACAATTTGGTGGTGGTGCTTTGCGGAGCTTTACTGCTATGTCCGAGGATGAAGAAGCTGCCACAATGGAAAACATCCGCGGCAACCCTAAGGACGACAACTTCGCGGACGTCCGTGACAAACGCTACATTGCTTCCCTAGAAGACATCCGCCAAATCTGCGCTGAAGTTGGCGGTGGCCACGTCATCGGAGGGAATGCTCAGTTTCAGGATATGTTGATACGAATTTTGCTCAAAACCGGTGCATTGGAGGTTCCTTCAAGAGCGGTCACAAATCAACAGGCGACAAGCGAATTGATGGGGTATTGGAAGAGCCAAGACCAGGGCGAGCACGAAGAATACCCATCGCGCGGTAGTGGTTTGCAGAGCAATACGGGGAATACTGATGGTTTCAGAAACTCCACTTCGAGCATCGTCTCAGGAGAAGCGGCACTACCGCAAACTTTCGTGATGAACAACCATGAAATCTTCTATCTAGAAGCTTTTTCCTCCAAGCTGTGGACTTGCATTGTCGAAGCAGGCTTGTCCAAGCACATAGCCAGAAGCACAATTTGGCGATTGGTTAGAGAACTGCGACTCAAAGCAAGCGGACAAGAGAGGAGAGAGTACGAGCGACACCAAAGAAACTACTTGTACAAGCGGCGATCGTTTATTTCCCAGTTGGTGCCAGTTTTGGAAGCCAATGCGATGGGTGGGGGCCGAAATCCTAACGCAGATGTCCTATTTGGCGGCGGCACTATTGGCGATGCCAGATACTTTGCTCAAGATTTGATGAAGGCACAAAGCTCCAACCTCGCGGAATTGTTCGAAAAACCCGACTTGCAGACTCAGCAACGCGTATTTCATTTGAAACACGAGCTTTTGACGAAGTTGGAGGATCAGAACGTTGCCTCGGACTATGACTCAGACGAAACAGTCGAGGACGAAGAAGAAGAAGACTTCAAAATCAAACTAAAAGGCGGCAGCAACAACAAGAAGTTATTCGCGGACTCCTTGCCTGTTCTGGGCCACGGAGCAGGGGATGGGAATGTAGAAACGTCGAATCCGCGTCCTGTCTTGGTCACTGACAGCCAGAAAAGCACTGGGTCGGCCAGAAGTAGAGAAGAACCGAAGGTCGATCTTCGTTCCCTGTTCCGCGATGTCCGACACCCCTACAAGGGTCGCATCGACTGCTTCGATTACGAACTGAGACAAAAAACGTGGAACAACGTTTTGTGTTTGCGTTACATCGATGCCAAACATGTGGACCGATCCACCTTGGATGAAGGGGATACGGAGAAAGTGTATTTCCAAGTTCCCACAGTGGCGGAAATGAAGGAAACTTTGCAAGAAGCTGAGTTGCGCTGGCGCCAGCGTGCAGAAACAGTAGGATTGCTACACGCTAAAGACCACTGTCTCTTTGGGAATGAAGGCGACAACGATGAAAACAGTTCATCCATGGTGGAGGAATACGGCAGAGCATCAGCGGAGCCAGATGAAAAGGCTAGAGCTGATGCAAGTGGTCGTGAACCTATTCCCTTGATCGGAGAAGCCCAGACGTCTAAGGAATCAGATGCAACTTCTTCGAAAGGTGACACTATCGCTGGTAGTCAGAAACCCGAACAAGGTCGGCGTTTTTTCATGTACGGCGCATTAGCCGCACGTATTGAGCAGGAAATCAACCGCAACTATGCTGCTAAGGAGCAGGTGCGTGCTTCTGGGGCAGCACTGTTGGGCGAGTACGTTCCTCGACGCAGTGAGCAAAACGGAGGTCGTGGTGGTTCTAATGGCTCTTCTGCTCGCAAATTGGAAATTTTGGCGCAAAAACAAGCTCAAGGAGCTTTTACCGATTGGATTTCTCGTTGGAAACTAGCTCATGGTTTGTACCGCATGGTCACCAGTCAAAAACTTCGGTATCGCGACGCTTCCCGCGACTTACCACCCATGTTGCAGGGCTACTTAACGATTAGAATCCCGTTGTGGGACTCTATCAAATCCCGCTACGACGCTCACGAAGACCCCTATCTCGTGCATCAGCATAAACGCGTTCTGAAAGGGGAGAGGGTTTTAGTACCGCAAAAATCTGGCGCCTTGAACGCCAGTGGTGAAGCGACGCAAGACAGCAGCTTCCATTTCGGAACGGGTGGTGGAGCTGGCGCAAAAACCGCTAACGGTGCACATGTGGCGCACAATCGCAGTGCCAAACGTGGTGGCGCCACTGTCGTCGACCGCAACACCCACGCCCAAGTTGATATAGAATACAACTCGCATCGCTACTACTTCGTTTTGCACGATGATATGGGTCTAGTCTGGTACAAGAACTTGCAAGCCTATGAAAAGGGCATCCCGATGGGCAACATCAACTTGCGAGTGCGCAAAAGTGGACCTTATTACCAACAAGGACCCCAGTTTGGGGCGACTGGATTCGGAGGCGAAGACAACAATAATGTCGATGGCGACTCCTCGGACAGTCAGGACCGCGTGACTACCCATGAATTTGCAGGAGTTTCTAACAGTCAGTCCCAAGATCGTTTTCCCAGTCGTAGGTCTGGAGCACAACAGAGTTCTCAAGGCCAAGGTGGTGTTGACACGACTACACTCGCAGATTTGATAGAGGATGAGAATGATACTGCTGCAGATCATGCTGGAGCAGCTGCGGAACTTGCTAACTCGTCACAGACTACCACAAAGTCTGGTGGTGTCAAGTTTGGCCTGGATAGTATTCAATCATATCATGAAAGCAGTTCTCCAGCTCGACTCGGTAGCGTCAGTGCTGGTGCTCGTCGCGCTAGTAGTTTGAAGTCCACATCAGGTGGTAAGAGCATTTTGAAAGACAGTGCTGGAGTGGGTAACACTTTAGCATCCTCTACTGCAGCAGACGGCAGCAAGTCTACACTTCTACGCACGACCTCTACGCGACCTTTCTCACGTCGTCTGTCGAACATGAGTGCCGCTGCCGCTGCTGAGGCAGAAAAGAAGCGTGCCCAACAGCAGGAGCATGCGGAAAAAGCGGAGATGGCCGCGAAAGGATTGCAGGCGCTGGTGAATTTCGAGACTGGTGGCGAACATGGACCGGAGGCTAGAGCTTCACATCAAGCTTCTCTAGTCGCCAGACTCTCCGCTTTGGAAAAGAGCGACAACGTTGCCAAAGAGTTGGTGGATTTGCACGACCAAGTAGACGCCGAGCATTTCATCAGAAAGAAATCTGCGAGAATTTCCTCTGCCGACAGAGTGAACTCCAGCATGCACAGGAGTATCATCAACGTTTTGGGCGGAAGAGCGAGTCGTGGCCGAGTGTCCGCAAGGGTCGTGTCAGACAAGCCTGTTCATAACCTGTCCTTTCAGCGGGACGAGCTGAAAAAAGATCATTCGAAATATGATTCTGGAACAAGAATTATGTCGGAGGACGTTTTCGTACGACAAGCTGGTGCCTCGGATTATGATTCGAGTACGCCTGGATCTAGTAAGCAACCCATGGAGGCGATGAAGCTGGAGGAGGACGATGCTGGTTTTTTGGATTTTGCTTTAGCAGGAGATGGTCAAGGAGACTCGATGCGTGTCTCCGCGGTTAGATCGATGCAGTCGCAGGGGTGGAACAGTTCAGAAGCGCAAGATTCGATGCATGGTTCAATAAATAGAGTCCTACAAGCTCAAAGCAGCGAAGAGAGCAACGTCGAATCAGCGAGGGGAAACGGACAACAGCAGACGTTTCAGTACTACAAAGAGCCAGCAGGGTTAGTAGCGCCTCCGCCAGAGGCCTTCCGTAAAACAGCCAGGTCGGTCCGCTTCGACGCTCGTCCAGAAGTTAACAATGCAGCAGGTTTGAATGAACAAGAAGTCGCTGGACTACTGTCGACTGCTACACCAGAATTCCTAGCAGAGGTTGGCATGGAAGACCGCGTCGATGTTCTAGAACAGAGCGCCAAACTTGAAGGGCAACTGGGTGGCAAGGACGTTCTGGGAGGTTCAGGACCGGATAACCGCCGCTCGAATGCAACGTTGAAATACGCGACAGCATTTACTAACAGCAGTCAACAAGCTCGTCCAATGTCGGCCTCTAAAGTGGAAGAGCAGGCTATGAATAGCGGGTTTCAGAAACACTATGAAGACACGGCCAAGGAGTTGTACCTGTGTCGATGGGGCTTTGTGGAGCAAGCGATTTTTTTGAAAAATCCGAATGAAGGAGCTATCTTCTACGTCTCGATCAATGGTAAAATCCAAATTTTTGCTTCAGTAGAGAAAATCAAGTTCAGTAGAGAAAATCCAAACTTTTGCTTCATCAACAGCACATGATGTTGATGTTATTAAGTGCCCACTCATCTTCCCACATTTGTTCTTTTCACACGACCAGGTTCTCACGCTGCTGGCGACATGAATTCTGCTGGTCCCTCAGTGATTCCCGGCTTCATCTTGACCGCAGACGAGAAGAGTGGTTTCAAACAGTGGGCTGATCGTCTAGCTTTGCTTTTCAATGTGCCGTTTTCTTTCTACACAGACAAGTTCACCACCTGTGACTACAACATTTTCGGTGGCGAGCGTGACACGACTAGTGTCTTCAATCCGCGGGAAGAAGACACGTTCAAATCCGCAGGCGCTGTCCCAGCTGCTTCTGTGGGAGCCCAAGGCGGCCAGTTCCTGTCCAGGGTGAGCAGGAATTTGAGCGAAATGCAGCAGCAACCAAGCAACTGGGGTGCGACGTCTGATGGAGCCGCTTTGTTGCCGTATCACCCAGCGCCGTTGCGCGAACAACGAAGGGCTGAAAGGCAGTTGTGGGGCGACGTGGATTTTGAGCTGAAAACCGTAATGCCTGTAGCTGATTCGTTGGATTTAACCGATGGCCAGAAGAAGAAGAACTGGGGAGCTTCGAGTGTCAGCTTGAAGCACATGTTGTTGACATTGAGACAGGAACAATGCAAGTTCTTCATGAATGGGCGTGCGCGATCGAGTGTGATGGACGCAGATTTTTTGGTCCTGAAGAAGGAGTTCATCGAACTCTTGAGGCATCAAGAAGACATTGCGGCCTTTGCCCACAGTGTGGGTGGCAATTTACTCTTGGCAGAAGGCGCAGGACGTTTAACGAACATCAATCAGGGGTTGCGTGCTCCCACCGTTGCCGGTGCGGCTGCCGTTCAAGGTCGTGCGAGTGCCGCTTTCGATCGAAGCTCCAGCACTTTGCTCGGCAAGCTCCAGAATGCTCTTGCCGGAACCGGCAGCTCGTCTCTGACTAGTAGCGCCAAGCTAGCTGCGACCCTGCATAAGCCCTACTTAGCGAAGATCTTAGACGGTGACGTCACGGTATTATACGCTGATGCACTGGCGCAGCGAAACCACACACCGTGGGGCAACGTTTCGGAGTGTATTCGGGTACTGGTGTATTTGGCTGGCAGCGCGGTCATGGAATTCGAGAAGAAGCATGGGTCTAGTAGCGAAGAGGAAGATGATGAGGGGCTCAGTGACATTGATGAAGAAGACGATGACGACGACTCTGACGGTGATGACTCTGACGAAGACAACAACTCGATAACGAGCAAAAGCAAGGGTAAGAAGAAGAACTTAAAACAGAGAGGTGATCAACGAGGGTCATCAGAATTGGATTTGATGTTGAATAATGTCCGGTATAAGTCGCCGATTCAGTTCTTGAGTGGTTTCCTCGGAGAAACGTCTGGCAGCAATAACGGACGCTTCCCGTCTGTCGAGGACTTGATTCCTACGGGCGCGGCAGCCAGCAGATTCGGCGACGTAGAGGCTCAATCCGGCAGGGGCAACAACACGCTAGCTTCAGCTCGTTTGTCCGTTAACCAACTCCAGGAAATCGCGCCAGGCACAGCACTAGTTGCCGGCGTCGCTGCTGGATTGAAGGTGAAGAAGTCCAGACACTTGCTCAGTCCCGAAGCGAGCAAAAGGCGAACGGGCCTGAAGAAGGGCTCCTTTTTGACTGCGGGGGAACTGCTCATCAAGGAAGCTGTAGAGATGGAGGCAAAACGTCAACACGCAATGGAAGTCCGTAGGGAACAAGCCAGGAGTGCCGCTGCAATGCGAGAACTACAGCAAATAGAGGCCGCTGCTGCGGACGCTACTGCAGATGGACTCCGCGGGGTGTCACAGATGTTGCGCAGCACGGCAGGTGCAAACAATATGCAGTTGATGCTTGCTGGGAATGGCGACGACGTTCCGTCTCGCATGGGCGGTGGCTCGAAGATCAACGCCGTCAGTGTCATGGACTCCAGCGCTCATGGGGCTTTGTTGCCCTTCGGAAACTCTTTAGCTCCGGCTTTGGCTTCTGATTCCGGGGCATTTGGTGCTGTGATGAACTTGTTGCCGCACTTGTTGACCCAAAGCGCTTCGGGCCGTCTGATTCGAGAGGGCGACTTGAGGAAAGCCAGTTGGTCCGATCCGGCGTTTTATAGACCTTGGACGACAACGTCGAATCCCACTACGCGCACCTTAGGGCGCATTCGTGTGTCTGGTGAAAACGGTTCTCCCGATGTCTCTCCCGGAGGTGGTGGACGCAAGACTAGAACCACAACTACAGATGGAACTACCTCTTATGCCGCCACCAGAGCTAGTATGGCGGCTGCGAGAGGGAGCAAAGCGGTCGGTACGTCCCACCAAGGAGGCCTAATCGCTCCAGGACGTGCTAGTAATATTAAGTTCGACTCTTCGGAACGACCTGTAAATGGCGACGAGCATCCCTTGCTCACTCGTGCCAACGCACCAGCAGGTGGCGTAGCATCGTTTCGCATCAAGCCGACGTGGCTGCGACGCCTGCGTGCTTTGGCCAAGGGCGTGGCTGAGCAACTGGGTGATCACAGTGCCCTGCATGCCGGATTGCAGGATGAGCTGCGACGGATTGTCACATCCTCACGCAATCCAAGACTGTTGGCTGATCCAACTCCGCAACTGCGTGCTTTCCACTTGATCGACCGCAAAGTCTGGATCGGCAAGACGAGCGGTTTATTAGCCGGCGCTTCTGTGCAGCAAGGCACCAAGAAAAACTCGGCAGGCAAGAACGGTTCTGGCCCATCGTCGCACGTCAGTTCCCATAACGCCCTAGGTGGAGGCAACGCGATGGCGACAGGAGAAACGGTGGAAACGGTCTTAATTGCCAGCTGTGCGAACAGTGTCGATGATCCAGTGAGCCCTCTCATCGCTAATGGTCCTAGTTTGGAGGAGATTCCGATCTCTTCCATCGAGTGTGTGGAGGGCGTGCGCCAATTTGGGAATCGTCAGATGGGCTACTGCCTCGCTTGGCACGTGTATAAGCACTTGGTGCACGAATCTCTAGCAAGGGAGTTTGGAGCGGGCATAAACCACAGGAAGGATGACGGAGAGCGTGCTCCACATCGTATTAGCGTCACAAAGCGAAGTGATATTACTACTAGCGCCAAAAATTTGGGCTGCAGCCAGCACTTGCTCTACGAAACCAAGAAACGAAGTGATATTGTCCACCATCCGATTGGCTTGCAGTCTCCTAGAAGCTCGGGTACTACGGGTCGTTCTCGTGGACCCGCCGGTGAGGTGGATGCTGAGAAGGACGTGAATGCCAGAGACATTCATGTCACGCCTGCGCAGTTGCACCTCAGCAATAATGGTCAACCTGGTCGTGCAGGTCCTCCAGCTCGTTTGGGCCCCACGAAGATGCAAGTAAGCTTCGGCCTCGACGTGAAATGGACCCATGTTCGCAGAGAAATGGCAGAAGCCGATGTGAAAATGAAGAAACCCTGTTTCGTCATGGTTGTGATCGACGACTGTGCTTTGTATTTCCCGGGATCGGGCGGAAATCAGAGAAGTGCCTCTACTTCTGGAGTAGACGGCTCTGGCGCACAGACTGGCATGTCCCGTTACGGGGTCAGCAGAAGTGTGGAGCCTAGTTGTAGTATGAGAGGACCAGTAGGAGGCAAGAGCGTTCATCGACAAAGTGAGCGTGCAGGTTCTTCTACTACCCGCCACTCAGGGAAGTCGATTGGCGCAGCTAACCGCAAACTGCTGAACGCGAGTACAATGAGCGCCTTCTTGGACCAAGAGTACGTCACTTTCAGCAACGTCCAATTCAACGAGGAAAAGGAGTATTTTCGCTTGTACCTCGTAGATTTACGAGTCGCCTCGGCAGCAAGCGTCTACGAAGGCGAAGACAGTTTGTTGGCTTTTCTAGAGAAGCGGGCGTTCTTAGTTTCGAGGCCGATGTCGTTTTACGAGTTAGCGAATGCGCAGATGCAGCGCGAGTTCTTCGCGGACGAAGCCGTTCCCATCAAGTACGAGGTCTCTAGCAACTTGAAGATCGACGCATATCGAGCTGCTGACGTCGCTAGAGGTGTCAAGATGTTGAAGAAAGCAAAGAAACTAGGACGAGGAGAACTCAATAGTATGTCCTCTCCTGGAGCAGCAAATGCAAATAGTCTTCATCTTAAACAGGCAATGTTGAAGCCCTTGATGAAGTTTCGCGCTGACGTCACTTGGTCTGAGAACGTGAGCGTCCGTATTGCGAATCGTGGTCGCGGAGAACTTTTACGTGCTTTACGGCATGCTAGTCGCGGCGTCGTCATCACCGAGCCTTTTACCGCGGTAAACCAAAAAGCCCGCAGTCAAAAAGACGACGACTTTGAGGACGACGACGTCGAAGAAGAAGAGACAGCGATACAGGATCAAAATGCTTCTTCCACTGATCCAGCTGCAGGAAACAACTTTTCTGGCAGCTCCAACCAGGACCTTCAAAACAAGAAGTCTACTCGCAAGAAAGCCATGATGCCTGAGAATTTTTTGACCGCTCTAGGGCGGGAAATTGGGAAGTATGTGTATTGGCGGAAGAGGCATGAGGAGCTTGAGTTCGAGGTGGGGGAGGACCTGCGCAACGACGGCGACAGCGATGATGACGATGATGAACAAATGCACTATCCTGGAAGTAGTTCCTCGTCATCTTGTAAGCATCTTCTAAATGGCCACGCGAAGTTGCTCAGTGCTGTGGCTTCTGCTAGAAGCGAAGGAAGTCGTATTACGAAAACGAGTAAATATGAAGTAGTACAACTAGACGATCATGTGGCTTCGCCTGGCTCGAGCAATGCGAACAACGTCGTCAATCTGAGTTCTATGGAGGAACAGCTGCCCAAGTCCATGAAGAGCACCCCTTCTGACGATGCTAGAGTTGGAGATGTACTGAATCATCATGCTGTTTCTGTAGTTGGGGATCTGCAAGGAAGTGGTCGTCGAAAGTCCTCTATGAAACTCCATGGCACTGTGCAGGCAGCCAAACGCTTGCACGCCGCTGGCCAGAGGGCGCAAGCCAGAATGCTGCAGCACGCGGCAAGGAAACCATTGGAGGCGGAGACTGACGCGAACGAAAAATATTTCGAGCAATATGCTGAAAAAGATGCAGCTTTTGAGAAAGATGGACCACAAGGTCCTACTTCACGACAGGCGAGACCTTCCTCAAGCAGAAAGAGCTTGTCAAGGAAAAGTACTCAAGCGGCAATGGGAGGCGGCAAGAATGTTGACTTCTTGTACTTCCCGGACGCTACTTCTGCTGCCAATTCCTCAGAGCCAGATGATGGCTCTGAAGATCTGACAGCGGGAGACGTTTCGGAATCGCCGATAGGGGGTGGAGGTCCAATGACTCATCCTAATGAGCACTTACACTTAGGATCGGAACAACCTGAATTTGAAGCTACAATAGGTGCTGCTGTGGGTCTCGGTCAGAGTTCTTCTGTAGATGATGATGAACAACCTGTAGGTTCTGTTTTGGGTTCGGGAGTGGAGGGAAACGCGAACTCTAGAAGCAGTAGAGCGCAAGCAGAAGCTAGTGCATTTTTCACGAGTGGCATCAATCAGACTCTAGCACCAGATAATATTAACGATGAAGACGGTGATGTGGATCTTCCGGATGTTGGGGCAGCGTCGTCACTACGTGCTAAAGCGATAGAGGATGACTTCGAAAAGAACAGAAACAACGTAATCAGACGACCGATACCACCAGGACAACAGACTAAGGATAAGGATAATAGCACTTTAGCAGAGCAGCAGCAAGTTGCTGTTGGGGAGGAGGATAAGACTGAGGACAAGACTGAGGATGACAGTACTAGTAAGAGTATCATCAACACAGCCAGTTTCAGTCAAAATCGAACTGTGAAGAGCAGCCGAAAGTCCCAAAAAGTTCACGTTGAAGAACTCCGAAATCAGTCAATCGACAACTACGTGGAGCATTCGCAAAATCAGCGTCCTCGCACCTTGTTTCAACATGTCCTTAGAGAAGGCAGAAACGAAAAGATGCGCACTGGTATTCGCAGTTTCCTGAAAAGGATGAAAGCACAAGGCTACCGGCTGCCAGACGCCTTAACGCATCCAACTGGCGGCAACCCATTCCCGAAAAAGCATCATGCAAAAACTGGCGGCAAAAGCCGACACCAGAAAAGAAGCCATAAGAGCAAGCATGTGAAATCTCCACTGATTCTAAAAGGCGAGAAAAACACAGAGCAATTCAAGGACCCCAAGGATGCGGTTGGCAGTGACGAAGATTTTGAACTGCGTAAAAAACATATTGTACCTTGGAAATATGGCGGAAAAGACAAATTCCGATCCTCCGACCAAGCGTTCGACTTTTCCGACATGTTTGCGTATTCTCATCAAGGCAAGATCTCCAAAGGACGACGAAAAGGAGGTTCGGACTCCAGTTCAGGCTCCTCCTCCGATAGTGATTCAAGCTCAGGCTCTGGCGTTGGTTCTGACGTCGTAGAAGAAGGTAGCTCGTCCTCTAGAGATGAAGATGGGGAAGGGATCATTACGTCTAGTGACGACTATAGTGGCAGATTCACCAAGTTCTTGTCCTCTTCCCCTACCAAGAAGGGCAAAGCAGGTAAAGGAGAGAACAGACGAGGTAAAGATCGTTCTGGAGCTGACTCAGGAGATGAAGGTGGAGAAGGTGAAGGTGCTGGGTCCTCCTCTTCTGGAGACGGAAAAGGAGAACAAGGAAATACTTCTAAGGGCACTGGTAGGCGCAAGAAAAAGGACAAGCCGATGGCTCGAAACAGTCAACTCTTGTCCTATCGCGTCCTCCGTCAAAACGCGTTAGCAGCAGCTAGAGTATCGTCGAAAAAAGGTAAGGGAGGGAAAAAGGCTGGCGGAAAAGGTACGTGGAATGCTGAGGATAGTGGTGCTGAGGAGCGAGGTTCTGGCAGTGAAGAACAGCACGGGAATTCTGAGGATGATGAAAAGGCGCGACGCATGCTCACAGCGGAGATGAGAAAACTCTCCCAGAGGCATCTATCTCCTGCGCAGAAAGCTTACATTCGCGAACGCATTGCTTTGCTGGTCGAAAACGGCATTCTGGAATCCCTTCCCAGATCCCTGGAGAATAACGAGTACGTGGATCAGATCAAAATAGCTCTTCGTGTAGACGATGACGAAGCTGCTGCAGGAGGCAAGAAGGGAACCCTTGCCAGTGCGCAGAGGAAATTGAAGCAGTTTGATTATCAGCGGTTCTTGGAAGAGGAAAGAACGCGTGGGTTTTCTACAACGGATTCGGAGTTGATGTACGAATCCCTGGAGGGCACCGACAGCAGCTCTTCTGAAGACGAGAAGGAAGGTCACGGGGGCAACAATCGGAAACGAGGCGACGGTACAGGTACTGACAGTGACGAGAGTTGTTCAGCTGACATCGGAAGTGACGAAGACAATGAACTGAGCAGAAAATCGAAAAAGAAAAGGAAAAAGAGTAGTGGACATCATGCAGTGACCTTTGACTCTCTACCCCTACCACAAGCAGCGGTAGAACTGATCCGATCGTCTGACGACATCGACAAAAACGCCAGGCAATTGCTCCAACTGGACTTTCAATTGGTGGAAGTTCTGCTGGTTATCAACACAAGCCCGGACGCCTTAACGGCTGCACGCGTCGCTGCAGAATCGGTCAAGGTGGAGCAGTCGTCCTCGGATATTAGAAGAGGACCCGCGCAAGTCGGCACCGGAGCTGGAGCCTCTGCAGGGGAATCCTCAGACAGCAAGCAGCCAGCGAACCTCTTCTCTCCAGAGAACAAGTCTGAAAACCGAAAAGTCATAGGCTTACTCGGAACACCACAGGCTTTGGAAGGACTTCTAGCGGTCTTAGCAAGAAAGCACATTCCAGTCTGGAACAAATTTGTGGTACCTGGATACTCACCGAAAGTCGACGATCTGGAGCGGTACTTTGATGACCAGGGTGCAACGTTTTACCGCGAAATCGCGCACACAGCGCCAGATGCCGCGTACTTGTAAGGCTTAGGGTTTTCAGTGTGATGAAAATTTAGGACTTATATCGGACAGAGTAGAGCTGATCTTATGATATGGTATGGACGTAGAAAAAACATTTCCCTATTATAAGGAGGTGTTCTCAACAATGAAACAGTAAAAGAACTAACAAGACTCAGAGGGCAGCAGAGGTAAAACAAGTACTACAACTAGCTAGCTCGCTGCATCAGCCAGAATGGAAATTCGACATTTCTCATTCATTTATTCACACTACATGGGGGAAAGAGACCCAAGAAAGCAACTAAGCAGATTTGAAAGTTGAAAGAAACTAAAAAGTCTACCTCTAGTACAACCCTCTTTTTTGAAATTCTACCTACGGAGACATCAAGATCGCAAGGCCCAACACGATCGCGCACCAGCTACATTTGAATACTGTGTTGTAATTTAAACAAGAAATTCTTGTACGAAAAATTTGATTCCGTAGTGTTGTCTACGATGACTACTTAGACAAAATGATTCACAGCAGTGGCACACGCAGGACATACATCAAAGGATACTCTAAGAATATCAATGTCATCTTCAGGATTTTTTTTGGGATAATTCATTTCATCATCTATCACACTAACAATAACAGTTGTAACAAAAAGAAGCTAAAGTAGCTGTAGCTGTAGTAGGATTATCAAGAATACTAAGTAAAAGCATGAGCATGTGAGGTGAATCTTCTGTATATCAATCGTTTGGGGATTAACAATAATAACAATACCATATGATCTTCTTGAACGCTGTTGTATTACAAATGTTGTATAGGAACGACTAGCGAATCCGACGTGGAACCATTGTACAATACGCATAAGGAATTGAAAAAAAACAGTGGAAGAGGAAGACGGCCTTCATGGTGCCCCTTGTGGTAGTGTTCATTGTCACGATGTCGTTCCTCTCCTATATGCTCTCTCGTTGTTCTCATTCGTATCATCAGCGTCTCTCTCTCGTTCTTATGGCTGTGTGGGCAAACACCATGACATGACATGGATATGCGAAGATCATCAATCAATTTTTTCTGTTGCCCAACAAGAAGCACGTTGCGTCTTTCAGTGGAGGGTGATCCACCGATCACCCTCATGGTCTCTTGCCATCTCTGCTTCAAACGTCAAGAGTTTTCCTCATCTCTTCATGTCCAAAGGTAGTGCCTTGAGGCTCCTCAACAGAAAAACCAAGTCTTTCGTACATCTAGTCTTCGTCATCACGTATATTGATAGAGCAGCTGATGAACTTCTTCTAGCTTCTTGCACTATGGTACTACCCTACCTCTTTTTGAAGAAGCAAGGACTTTCCGCCCTACAACTGTCCCCGAAAATTTTGATGTACTTCGTATGTACGAAGCCAAGTAGGTATCTTTTGAGTGACTTAGATGACCCGCAAATTAAGATAATTTGAGTACACTTTATTGGTCTGCTTCTTTCCTACCTTCGCTCCAGTTCAATGCTATAGAAATGTCTTCTTAATACAGTACGTTGCATAACCACAAGCTTTCTACTTATAACGAGTGGAGTCGTAAATGAACAGTGTTGATATAATCATACCATGATCTTCATGCATTTTTTTTCTTTGTATCAATCTGAATATAATCATGGTTGCCACGACTGAAGTCTGCTGGTTTACCTAGTGGACTGACGCCTAACCTAACCTAACGAGATAGATTAAGAAAAATACTCCGAAACAAGATGGTGAAAAAATGTTTGAGTTTTGCAAGAAAGGTTCTACCTCTTACGTTGCTGGCACCACGGTTCGAGGCGGTCGTTATCGGAACACATGAAGCCGCGACTCCATCAGGGGGATGCGAAGGAGCCTCCTACAACGATGGTCGTGACTCTGAAGCACGACGAGATGAGAGCTCCGACGAGGCTGAAGATAGCCGAGTGGTACACCGAGATGAAGGTTCCTCAGCAGCCAGGGTTCAAGCACCTGCTGCATCAACACCAGCTGCACCTTCGTCCACCGCATCAACGGCGACGCCTCCTTGTTCGGCGGTGCCGAAGCCTACACCTCCTTCAACATCGCCCGCAGAATCTTCATCCGCCCTACCAGTACCAGTACCAGTACCGTCAAAAACACAAACGTGGTGCACGACAGAATCACCCCCACCGCCAACAGCAGCTGCTGCCACATCCAAACGATCCCAAAGCCCAAGAACACCAAAGCCACAACCATACACATCCATCCCACCTTCTCTGATGCAAAGTATTTACATTCACTTTGAAATTAAGGCTTGTCCCCGTAATTCATCTGAAGAAGGATGTATGATCTACTTTGGCACGTTTTGTGCTGGGGAAAAACATGTTGACATGTTGACAAAGACGACTCCTAAGATGATGAATTATTCGCTAAGAACAAAGTTTTAATGAAAATAACTACGCCAAGCGCGTACGCGAGTTCTTCGAAAGGAATACACCGAATACCTTGGTCCTAGAACGTGGTGATAGCAGCAATCCAACCCAAGCTTTTGGGGCCATGAACATGCAAAAACTGCTCTACGGCGAGGGGCAGAGACAGAGTGTGGATGTAAGTTATGTTTTCGAAAAGTTTGAGTTTAACTTTTTCAAGAATTTTGTCAACGTGATGTAGGAGAGACAGAATGGATAGGGGTCGAGTAAAGCATCTCGACAAATGTAGACAAAGAAGTGATGGCGCACAACTACGACTAGCTAGAAATCATCTACGTGTGTGCTTCACACTTTTACTTAACTAATTCAACATTGCTCCTTCTAAAGAAAACCGCCTCAGCCGCATGAGCCTGGTGCTTTCTACGCCATCAGGGAAGCTGCGGAGAAAGAGACGGAGCAAGAACGCCTTGTAGCTGAACATCTAGACCCCTGGCGTCGAGAATTGTGGTTGCATACGATGCAGATGCTCACTGTTATGGCTAGCTTTTGATACCCATCGCGTTCAGCATCTCGTCACTAAAATCGATCCTTCATAAAATAGTCAATACGCGGGGGAAAAGGTACCGAGATAAGCTGACCGGGATGGATAATTCTAGCTCACTCTAACACTACGGCCGGAGTGGACATTCAGTGGACTCGCAGACCCCAATTGGTAGCGGCTATAAGTCATAGCTGCCTGAAAGCAACACATGCAGCATACTTTGGGGACCAAAAAGAGCTAGAGCGGGAAGCGCAGGACAAGGGGACGGCGAGTATGTACTTGTCGGGCAAACAATTGGGGAATGTGACAGCACGGTCTCTTCCGACGTTTCATGCGACTGCAGGTACTGCTTTTGTGAAATGTGATCGGTACACCCACACGCTTTTTGTCTTCCGGTCCAAACGTGAAAAACATATATAATATTGTGACTTTCGCTTTAGTACAGATGAATTCATTTTCCCCGCAAACCAAAACTCACCTCAATAGATGACGTTTCCCGCGGAAAAATGCCGTTCGAAGTCGTGCTTCGCGTTCCGGTGAGTAAAATCGTGCAGCAAAATACTAGTGCAGCGTCAGCTGCCGTAGAGGGGCTGGCCTCTACGTTGTCTGCTGCAGCAGGAGGAGTCTCCACTACAGGCGACGAGAAGTACCAAGATTTAACAGTGCATCCTCGTATGGTGCGCGAGCTGCTAGAATACGACTTGGAACAGGCCGAATTAGAATTTCTGCGCTTAAAGCGCTATGATGAAGAAGCCACAGCGCGAGTGAGAAATTTGATAGAAAAACTAGAGCACACTGCGAAAGCGAGTGGGAAGATTGAGGTTGGAAGCGTTGGAAGCTACCAGAGTTCTTCTAGTCCGGGAGAAGCTGGTAATGCTAGTGCAGGTACAGCTACTGCAGGTCCGGGAGAAGCTGGTAATGCTAGTGCAGGTACAGCTACTGCAGGTCCGGGAGAAGGTGTGGTTTCTGCTAGTGGCGCCTTGGAGAGAGTTTTCGATCAGGAAGCTTTTACCCAGTGGATCGCTAAGTATCGCGCGTCTCTTCGGACTACGATGGCTACGTTGTTGCGTCGGTCGATCCTCGTGTTCGAAAGTGGCGCACAGGTGACCCCACCCAGTGAGGACGCTTTTGGCGCTGTTTTCGAGGAAAGAAGGAAAAAACGGTCTTTGAAATACCTAGTCGACAGGGCGATTATGATCCGACACGCGCTGTTGAAGGGCACGCAGGACGATAATAAGCTAGCAAATAAGGCTACCGCTATTTGATAGCATGTTGTCGTCCTCAACGCCATCATTCTTGGCTCTTCTTTTTCTATTTGAAAAAGGTGCCAAGGAAGATGCTCCGAAGGATGGATGCCAATGCGGTAGCTCTAAAACAAGCAGGATCTTAGAAGACGTCTGTACTAAAGTAGCTTCTATGGGCTCCTCTGCTAGAAGTTGTACAACAAGAACTGGTGGCACACCTGGTGGCACAACAGCTGAACCGGATATCATCAGCGATGACTTGGCGTATCTGATCAATGTGATTTGGCGTGACTACCGGAACTTCCAGGATGATGTTGGACGCGCGCATGGGGAGAAGAAGAATGGGACTTCGCTTGGGGGTTCGGTGGTCATGCCTAGCATGGAAGCGGAAGGGGGGAGAGCTGGTGGGAGTGGTGTGGGACAGGGTAATAAACTGTGGACCAGAGTGAAACAGCCCTTTGCAGTAAGAGACACAATTAAGGCCGCTGAGACTTTAATTCATCTTGACAGACGAGATTTAACAAGCATCTCGATACTAATGGAGCCGTTCCTAAAGGGAAAGCACGCCAAAGATGCTCTCCAAGATGAAATCAGGTAAGCGCTAACACAACAACAGCGGTTTCTGAAGTAGATGAGCCTTGTGCTACGGGCGCGATCATTAGTACGACCCGGCTTTTGGCGATGGTGTACAAGTACTTACACTCTGTTTTTGAGAGTGAAGAAGCGCGATCGCAGCTGTTGTATTATGTCATGAGTGATATGGTCTCGACTGTGGTTTCCACGTTGACAGACCAGGTGGAAGAGAATAGCACGAATAACGGACGAGCGTCTGACACTACTGGAAAAACTGCCAGCAGTAGCGGAGCAGCTGTGCCCTCTTCAACATCTTCAACGCAGTTCGTGGCTACAACTACGCCCGCAAGTTCAAACGGAGGACCACGGTCGATTCATGTGCGGGTGAAAAAGAAAAAAGTCGATGAAAAAGGTGGTGGCAATACTAGTATGAAACAAGTAGCTAGTAGAGAGGTGGTGAAACAACTACTCGAACATAAAGAAGTGACCGACTACATTGAATGGGCGTTGGCTAGAACGCTGAAGGAGGATCGGTTCCAAGCCTTAGCGGACGTGGAGTACATTGCCCAAAGACTTGCGTCTCAGTTGGGCATGGACAATTTGCCAGGGCTGAGGATGCCTGACGATATGGAACGATTGCTGGACATGTCGGCTGAGCGACTAGTATTCCAGGATCGTTGTGTCCAAACTGTCGTGGACGACGTCTCCTGGTGTGACGAGGAGGAGCTAGCTGTTGCCGCGATGAAAGGACTAGCTGTTGCCAAAAGTGGGTTCTGGACAGAAAGTACTGGAGGTCCTGGGCTTGAAAAAAAGGCAAATGGCGCAATAAAAGGCAAACAAGAGGAGGAGGATCAAGTAGAACGTCAAGGTGCTGATCTCGCATTTGTAGATGTAGCGTTGAAGCACTTTTCAACTTCTCCGGATGGTCCGACAGTAGGGCAAAAGGAAAGGGTGGAAAAGAAAAATTCATCTTCAGGTAAGGTCGGAGAAGCACTTAATCTTGTACTAAATACTCAACCTTCCACTGCTTTCCGACAAGCAACAACTCCATCTACTTCTACAAACTGCCAACTACCTCCAGTAGACACGAAAAACAGCAGAAAAATCCAGATCTTGGAGAA